GATATCAATTTTATTAAAAAAAACTAATTCACATACCCACTAACGAGTACAAAAATATCAACAACCATATACTAATATGCAATAGTGATTTTGATCAAAATCTTTTATAATTCTATAACAAAATAAATTAAAAAATTTGTTTTGTGTTTTGTTTCAAACTTTTTCACAGTCGTATGTCAAGCCAATTTTTTTTTTAAGAAAAATCTTGTTCATATGAAATATTCTTTTCTTCTTTGCATTTTTTACAACTGCATTCAAGCAAAACATCATTTAATAAACGTGTAATAAGAACGATTAGGTTTAATGTTTTCAATACTTATTTAACGATTAAGAATTTAACCAAATTAATTAATAAGAAAAATCACACTTCCACGATTGTCTCTTGAATTGAAAATAACTTGATAAATTGGAACAAATCGATATATATTATATGCTCTACATTTAAACTCTATACACTGAATCTTGTTTGAAGAAATAACAACAAATGAACAAAGTCACAAAATAAAATTCTTAAAAAATACTAGAAGCCCTACTAGATGTTTCAGAATGGATAATCCATCAAGAATCCAATCTATATACAGTATCAGAAGAAGCCAGAAGACCTACATCCAAGTACAAATCAAGACTCGAAAACCATCCGAATCAACGTGAAAAACTTGCTTTCCACACACAGTCAAGATAGTCATTTCCAGAACATTTAAAAGAATTAACCCATGAGATTTAGCATTAGCATAGTAAACATAAAATTTAGGTTTATTAACATGTTTCATTATTTTTTATGTATCTCCTTCTCATCAATTTTTCAAATATTTAAATCACGTCTACTGGGTAACATTTTAAAATATCTTGACATTAGTCAACAAAATTACTGAACGTCTTTCTAGACAGAGCCTATACCAATAAGATTCCATATGAACCTTAGTCGTCCTAAAGATACTACTTAATATATTACTAAAAGGATGTGACATGACATAATTATACCAACTAAAGTGAGCAATCTGCCCAAGCAAAAAAAAAATGAAAACATCAAAATACAGAAAAGACAAGTACCACTTCCAAAATTTATCAATAAACTGTACAGTATTGGAGGTGCTGATTACAGTAAAGTACAGAAATCAGAAGACTTACATCCAAGTACAAGGCAAAGACTCAGAAAACCATCAGAATCAATGTGAAAAACTTGCTTTCCACACACATCCCCAGAAGATTTAAAAGAATTAACGAATCAGATTTAGCACAGTCAACATATAATTTATCTCCTCATCTATTTTACAAAAAAAATATAAAACAATTGCAAAATTTATCAATGAAGCAGTACAGTATTGGAGGTGCTGATTACAATAAATCAAGTCATGGACAATACAGGATTGGAGGTGCTGATTACAGTAAATCAATCATGTAAATTTCGGCCGAATCCTAAATTTAAATTATATCAAAAATTAAATTTGAAAATCCTCCCCTGTCCTGGGACGCTCTCGCGTTCGTTTTGGTTCGCTCCATTTTGTAGCATTGATGAGCAGATGGCTTTCTCGTACATATCGTACCGGCGAGAGCGTTTTTACAAAAATAATTTCGTGAAATAAAAATAACGTGTTGCCCGATAGAAACGTATTAGGGGAGATAATTGCCTCAATATATATGTCGGATGGAGAGCAGGGTTGCCCGATCATAGGCCCTGGGATAAAGGAAATACGACCACAAATGAGGATTGGATTGAAAATAAATCCAAATGGAAGTAATCCAACTGATTTAGCTGGTGTCTGACAACAGAGACATCTCTCATATTGGAGGTACAAAATAACTGATGGTGAATCGAGGTGGATCAAACAATCTAAGGCGCGACCCGAATGACGGGTTATGTTGGCCTGGGTGCTCCGATGTGGAAAAGAAATGAGGATTATTACCACGTTATTGAATTCTCAGAATTAGTGTGAGAAAAATTTAAAAGAGGTACTTTATATGCTGACCATTCGATAAATCTGGTAACGACTTCCTAAATACAAATATTAAACGAAATGTAATTGATATAATAAGAAAATTCTCCGATAACTACCATTTTTATGTAAATATCTGATAACCACTTCTCAAATACAAATATTAGATAAATTCACACTATTTTTAGCTTAATGCATTAAAAAAATTAAAAAATATATGATAAAACTTGTTATATGTTATATGAATGTCAAAGGACATTTATGAGAAAACAAATGTACTTTATATGCTGACCATCCGAAAAATCTGGTAACGACTTCACAAATACAAATATTAAACGAAATCTACTCGATATAGTAATAAAAGACAATTCTCCTCAACCACTTCTCAAATACAAATATTAAAAAATTCTAATTAATCTACATAATAACTAGTTAATAAGTAAATGGAACTCTCAGAATATGAGAGAAATCTAAACTTTGGTGCACCGGCAACTGCTCGAAAAATCTTGTAACAATTCGGGAATATATTTATTTAAAAAAAAATAACTGGCTTACTTAAAAATTAGGAAGCAAGTAAATAAAGAAAAATATAAACTTTAGCATAAGGAGAACCAATAAAAAAACTGGTGACAATTCAGTGAATACATATATTTTAAAAGATCTAATCGACTTAATAAAAATTAATTAATATGAGAGAAATAAATAAATAAATATCAATTATTAATATGAGGGAAATATCCGATAACAACTCAGGAAATAAAATTATTGAAAAAATCTAATTGACTTACATAAATAATAATGAAATAGAATTTTCAGAATAAATATGAGGAAAATGTATGCATTGGCATAACGACGATAACTACTCGAAATAACCAGCAATAATTACTTAAGTATAAATATTAAACAAAATCTAATTGACCTTATAAAAATTAGTTAACAAGTAAATAAAATACATCAGTTTTCATCAATTTTTATCGGCAACTAATATCAAATTTTGAAAAATATTAGTATTCGGTTCTAATATTTTTATACGTACAAATTGATTTAAAAAATATTGATAAACATCAATAATGAATGACAAAGAAATGCAAATAAAAATGATGCACACATAAAACTTTTTATGTGTACCGTGTGTATCAATATTTCAAAACTAACGAAAAATAAGAAAATTAATGTTGCAAGCACGATAATATTGCAAAATTCGTAAATTAATAGAATACGCAGATGGAAATGAAATATGAAGTAGCCCCGGCATTTCTACATCAAATTCATCAGTATTGGGTAAATTCTAATAATATCAAATATAGATAAGCCAACCGTTGGGTTGTTTTGTAAAAGCTAAGTAGTTAAGAAATATCATGGAAAAAAATTCAAAAATTTTAAAAATGTGTTTTTTTAAATATAACTTAGCAAACAAATGAATGAGTTTTATTCAAAATTCGACGCTCTGCAAGACAAATTATAAAAAACCTGTTTTGTAGAGCGTCGAATTTTCAATAAAAAATGACACGAATTTCCACTTTTAATTCATTTGTCGCTAAGTTATACATATTTTTTTTTAATTTTCAAAATTCTTTACATGCTATTTCGACATGAAGCTTTGATTGAATTGCGTACTATCTAAACGTTAATATTAGTAGCTGAAACTTTAAGAGAATTTTTTTTTATCAATTTGGAAGCATTTGAGCCGCTGGGAGTAAGGAAATTCGAAAATGTCCATATTAAGGACCACTCCAATATATATATACATATATAAATTTCTAAAGGCCGCGTAACTTTCAAATCACATTTCCAATTTTTCGATAAATTACCAAATAATTATGTTTTTTCTCGTGAGATAACCCACAAATCTTAATTCTGTAACGTTGTCAAGATAACCAATATCAATATTTGTAACCATTGCTAGACTTTTCAACCTGAAATAACTTTCATACACAGAAGTTCGAAAATTGTGAGACTTGAAAGGCACATAATTCATTAATACCAAAAATTTTTTTAAATAAAATTGTTTTTCATTTACATATATAAGCTTATAATTTTTGTTTCCCTAGTTATTTTGGATGTAAAACAAAAATTCGGCCCATTCATGGTTAAATTTGAATATATAAAATGTATGAGAGCGAATTCGAAGATCTAAAATGCTAAGACTATAAAATTCCAAACCGATGAAGTTCTCCTAACCGACGCACAATGCCCTACATAAATTTATATGTTCAAAGAGAATCATCTTTATTCTCAATGTAACAAAGTCTATATTTAATAATTTTTAACACAATTAAAGTTTCCATTAACGTATATGTATATCAAAGATCGTAAAGTCGTATTATTAGAATGTGATCGAGTTTAATTTGGTGGCGATACAGGAAATATATTTATAAATCTGTCTAGGTCGCTAGACGTCTGACTTATAAATAACACACACACATGCATCGAAGGCGATGGAGATTCAGAAGTAAAAAAAAAAAAAAAAATTGGTAAAATAATTACTTTGGATAAAATAATATTGTCAGAGAAAATATGTGCAAATACGTCTACGAAAATAGAAGGTTGACTAGAAAAGTCCAAAAACTAAACTTGTAAAATCATAGAAACGTAACTGAATTTTTCTAGAAGATAATTTTTGTGCTTAATAATTTTAAAAATATTGAGTAACAGAGTACATATGTGCGGTAATATTATTTATTTATTCATTCAAAATACTATGATGTCGCTACGTCCTGATGCCATGGCTTCGATTGATTATCGAACGCGCGACCTCTATCTATGCAACGTACGTGATAATGGTGATTTGTAGAAAAAAAATCTAAATAATTATCATATATCATTCCATGCATAAATTAATAAAAGAATTAAAAAATAAATAAATTGAACCCCGTTTAAATAATAAAGTAGGTGCTCGCCGTTAAAAATTTTTTTATTTCAACAAAATTGTTAAATTTGTTATGTAGACTTTGGAGTATTTTCTGCATGCAGACATGCTATATATATATATATATATATATATATATATATATATATATATATATATATATATATATATTAAAGATGTATGCAATAAAATCCTACCTGGTGTGTGAATCTTCACATTCTGCATATTTTGCGAGTCTTTGAACAGGACCGAGTCTATTCCAGTCCATCCATACTTCCAATGGGTCTCTGTAACAAAGATGATTTATTCATTAGAAATCGATAAAGGATATCAAGAATGATTTATATCAAATAAATCCCTATATATTTTTATATAGTTATTTAATATGCAACGTTTCAATGACACATATGAGCTTTCAGACGATATTACAATCAAAATGTAATAAGCACTGAAATTAAGAAATCGATATGCAATTTAGGTGGTAAAAAAGTGATGTGTAGTTTGCCTCAATAATTGAGTAAGAGATATAAGATGAAATCAAGAAATCACACATATTAGCTTTCGACGAAATTTTATATGCATTCAAATTAAGAAATTGATGTGCAATTTAGGTCGTGAAAAAGTGATGTGTAGCTTGCCTCAATTATCAAGTAAGAGATATAAGATGTGCACTAGGAATCGAGTTAGATATACAGCTCGAGAAATCAAGCAAAACAAAAATTTAAATATCGGTTAAGATCTTAGTTTTATAATTTATGTATAATTTGCCAAGTGTTTAGCAAGGCTTAGTGTAGTCACTTGTAATAAATATTCAATTATAGAAAATAACGTAAAATCCAATGCATCCAATAACTAAATGTATTATTAAGTAAATTGTAGTGTTCCTTATACGATAAAATAAATAAAAATTAAATATACTAATATATTCGACGCAAAGAACTAGAGTAGTGTAGTATTTACCACATCGAATAAGTACACATTAATGGATTTTATATGATAATTTTTATTGATCCGCATTGATATAATTTATGTAACAATTTTACTTGTTAAAATTCAACAAAATCTCATTTAATTTATTTTATTATTATTCACCTGTATTGTCCATCACCATCACCATGCTCTGGTTCAACTTCACAAATCTGATTGGCGTTTTGAATTTGTGGTCCCTGTTCTCCTGAACCAGAATCATTGGATTCTGTAAAAATTTAATTTATTTAAAAAATATGAATAAAGTATAATTGTGATAATGTTTATTTATGAAATTTAAATGATAGAACAAGTATATGATGCTTCTTTTAGCTTAAAAATATATGAAAAAATGTAAATGGGGAAAAAAATAAGAAAGCTTGAAACAAATGACAATGAGCAACCATGAACCTAATAAAATAAAAATACTAATTAATATTAATTTGTGCAGCAAAATTGGTATCAGAATTTATTGTGAAGTTTGGAACATAAAAATATACGTATTAAAATAAAAGTAAAAATTATTAAATATATGAATATCATAAAAAAATTAAAAGTCAAACCGAAATTCATAAAAACAAATTTGCAATATAATTATATATATATATATATATATATATATATATATTAAATATATGTAGATGTATATGTATGTTGTTAATACAAAGGGAAAGTGTCTACGCGTAGGCGGTGTCTACGACCTCGCTACGTCTCAAGGTCAATACGAAAACGTAGCGCAATATACGCACGTAGCACATTCAAATAAATAAATATGTATGTATGTATATGTATATTTTTGTGTGTGTTTGATTATTATTGAAATAAATAAAAAAAATGTTAGCCGTTAAAAATGTGGCAACATGGAAAATTGTTTGGTTAGAAAAACGCCCTAGACGTAACGTTGAATTTATTTAATAATAATAGTTAAAGAGTAAAGGTAAAAAAGTAAAGTTATAAAAAGTTTAAACTATATTGCAATTAAAAATAAACTAATTTTATTGGGAAGCCTTACATATTTTCTGTAAATACGTATTTAAATTGAACATTTTGAAATTGTCCTCACAATAAATTGTTGCTTAATTCGGATAATCTGTATCTTCATATACGAGCCTAATTTATATATAATACATTTCTTATTGTGTTCCATAAAATACAACACACACAAATCTATGTATTATATATATACATACAAAATATATTGATTTATGTTGTAAAAAGCCGGTATAGTTGATATAAACTTACATTCACCACATTATCCAATCAACACAGAAACTGGACATAGTCGGTGAATAATTAAAAGGCACATAAATTTATAACTTATTTTACGAAGAATTCGTAAATGAACACAAAAACGAAGATATAAATATCTTTATTTATATTATCTAAAAGCTGCGTACGAGATTCTATTGATTCGACTTTACTTGTGTGTGCACGGCGTCGTTGCCAACATGGGAAAAACTTAATACGACATTGATAATGTAAAGAAAATCGGGATAGAATTTTCCGAAAATTTTCCTAATACTATTATGGAAAACTAGTGGGTATGGCTCCGCGCCTTAATTGCTGGAACTTCCCGTACCAAAAATATTTTTTTAAAAACTTTGAACAAATTAGATTTTTGAAAGAATTTGAATTTTTGGAAAAAAAAACTTTTGGACAAAAATGTTATATTTTTTAATTTGAAATTTGGTGTTTTTTTTTCAAAGTAATTCCACTGTCGCAAATATCGCAGCGCGTAAGCGCCGCATCGCCGTCTAACGGACAAACGATGTTACGAAACCCATAGAAATGTAAACAAAATTGATACACATTATTAAAATCTCCATAAAATATCTGATAACTTAATGTGCATAAGTCTAATGATCATTTTTAACCACCCAATGGCATTTTTTTTTTACTTTTTTTAAATAGGTCCCCGAAACCGCTACCCCTGCCTTTCCAAAAATTTAATCACAAGTAAAATGTTTTTTGAATTATTAAAATCGGACGCTCTTAAAAACTGAGTTACCGCTTTTGGCACTTTTTGCCCCGTATCTCCAAACGGCTAGAACTGCATTTGCCAAAAACTAATCAGCACGTCTCCTTATCAATACAAATCAAATGTTTTTTGAATTATTCAAATCGGTTAATCGGTGTTCCCGAAATCGTCGACGAAAATTTGTATCCGCACACACACACACATACATCCATTTTTTCTAATGGTATGCCAAATTGTTCAGAAACCTTTAAAACGTAAAGATATATAAAAATTTTCTTTTTCGATTTTTTTGCGATTACTCAACTATCAATTGGAAAGAAACGTCCCGGCCGATCTTCACCAAAAACTAATCAACTCTATTCCTCCATTTTTACACATACTTTTTGTCTCAAATGATCCAGAATGACTTGAAACGTTGAGAAAACAAAATTAGCAAGTGGGATTTTCTGACGAGAACATGAACTTGTTCTTCGAGAAAATAATAATCATTTAATAGCAACAAACTTTCGTGAATTAATTAAGTAATACAATTATTATTGTACAGTTTGTAATTGGGTATCAAATGATTTTTTATATTTTAGAATAAACAAGTTTTTGAAAGAATAACGATGAAAGGATAAAATTAGGCTTACATGCACAAGCACATGCTTTTTCCAATTTTGGTATCAAACGATCCAAAATGACTATTAAAAACTATGGGTATTACTCAAGATTTCAGGATATCCATATATATTTCTCTTGAGGTGTTAAACACGTTTGTTCAAGCTGAAACCACAGCTAGTTTTTGTAAACAGTATACTATTTACAAAATAACTCGAATAGATTTACATATGAAAACATGATATTGATTTATTTGTTAAAATTCCTTATTATTGGTTGTTTATGTCTTGCCAAATTATAAACACAAGTTTGGAAGTTATCTGTAGCTCAAGAAGAATTCTCTCGATACAAATTCAGAATAGATTTACATATGAAAAAATGATATTGGTTTATTTGTTGAAATTACTTATAATTGGTTGTTTATGTCTTGCCAAATTATAACCATAAGTTTACAGGTTGAATTTTAAACATGATCTAGTACTAACTAGTCTATAAATAATAAAATAATCATAAATTTTGACAACGCCTTCAAGTAAGGTAGTACAAAAACATTTGAAACTATAACAAAACTGTATATTTTGCCTAATATAGTCATTATGGTAAGTTCACCTCGGAATTCGAGATACCCCACTGTAAGTATGTAAATACTTGTATTTTGCACCCTAAAAGTTATCTCAAAACCTACATATGTTGCGTACACCCTACCATAGTGCAAAATACAAGTATTTACAGCTGGTATCTTGAATTCCGAGATTCTTACCTAATTTAAGCTTAAATGTCTGTACTATAACAAACTTTGAAGTGACAATGAAATAATAGGACTACAATCAACCACGAGCCTAATTTCATGTAGAAGACCCTTCATTACAATTAATGTAATATATTTTGTACAAATAGTCTTGGTGTTATCAATGTAATATATTTAGTATAAACAATCCTGTCGTTATTATTCTCAATCATCTTACTATTTATATTGTATTGTGTTCATGTATAACTATCTACATTTATTAATAACTACAAAGCTTTTATCCACACCGATGAATGATGCGGAATGTAAAATGTTGCTCAAGCAGTTAGTATGACAAATACTTAACACATTTTTCTACTGACACAATAACGCTGAAACATTTTGCTGAATAATCAAAAATCGTAATATGTAATTTTAAAGAAGTTACTCATATTGCATAATAAATATACAATGAAATTCAGTTCAGTTGTAAACAATGTTAGAAATTATTTACTCAAACATAAAATTTAATAATAAACATTATACCAAGCTTTTGTTAAGATATATGAGCATCTAATATCGATTCCCTTCTATATCAAAAATAAAATTTTATTGATGTTATATCAATGCACTATTTTCTAATTTTAAATTATTATTTGTCTATTTGACATACTTTTTTTACCATGTCCTCTTTTGTATTGTTTTTTAAGCAAGGAAAACATTTCATCTAGCAATTAATAGGTAACTGAGTATTAAACTTTTTTTTGAAACTTCAAAACAAAATTTAAACAATATGTCAAGTTTAGGGTTTTTTCAATAATCAACAAAAAAAATTATTTAGTATACTATGAAACAATTAACAAAAGACATGCCAAAAAAATGAAGTAATTTTTAAAAACTGCAATGACTAAGCAAGTATAAAAATACAAAAAAATGTGAGTAAATTTAATGATTGTACAAAATAAAGATATACATTATCAATACCGAATATCAGATATGATAAATTTCATAGTTCACCATAATTAAGTGTAATTTTTCAAAATATGAAAGAAAAGCATTATAAAAGCCTCATAACCTAACAAATATGGTAAGGCATATTTATTATTATATTGAGTAGTCCAATGTTTAATTGACGATGAAGGTGCTTTGATGAATTACTTATGTTATGAATGAAAATTATTACACCCATCTGTCATTCGTAGTAATTTTGTTATCAGTTAAATATAGAACAACGCCATTGTGTCAATTATAACGTGTTAAGAAACCTGTCACAACGAAATGGTCCACTATTTCAAAACTCACCATTTTGTGTGTCTTCTAAATCAGAGTCTTGTATGAATAATATTTCTGGAAAGGATAATAATAAACGAACCTCTTTCAACAAACAATTTACATTTTTAAAAATATACTCAATCAAAATTTCAATGACAACAACTCACCCGCCATGATGTACTTGGAAAATATTTGATTTAATGTATAACTTCGCCAGTTTTTATTGTTAAAATATTCGCTAACGATGAGTAACAACACAAGTTTTATCATAAACACTTTCAGACATTGATGTAAATTAGAGTTTGGAAAGACAAATCAGTTTCAGGAGCAAACGTTCATTTTGTTCATTTGGGAGCACGACTATGAAGATAACTATGGCATTTTCAAATCTGATTTCGTATGGTGGCACTCCTGATATATGAACATAACCTAAAAGTCATATATCAAGACACTTTTTAAATAATAAATAAAAATGAATAAACATTCAAAAATACATTGAATATAATAAAAATCGTCTAATGTGAGTATTTTCTTTCTATGCCACTAAATAACCATAACTATAATTGCATTTCATACAACTTGAGGTACTTCAAATTAGTATGACAAATAAGTTCCAAAATATTCAACAAATTTGTTTATTAATAAAATCAAAAGACTATTAAAAAACTGTAATGTTTCTGCATCATCTTTTATCAATATTTACATTTCAGTTTCAAAAATTCCCGTGAAATACTTTTAATAATAAAAAATGGCAACAAGACTACTAGGTTGTGCAAGATTAACAATTGTAGAAAATGTATTATTTAACACCCAAAATAATATCAAGAGACATGGGCATCGTATGCGAGGAAAGGCCCCAGATGTTGCAAGAACTCTTGAACAAAGATTAAATGGTAATACAATGTTTTCCAATATATTATCACACTTGGTGAAATACACCTTATATATTTACAGAAATGATAAAGCAAGATGAAGCTGTGTCATATAGAGTAGATATTGGATTTCCATCCTCTTCCAAATCGAGATCAGATCAACTTTATGAACGTATGGCACACATTAAAAAGCTGCGGAGTGATACAGAACTTGAGAAGCTTGCTAGAAATCAGCTATGTAAGAAATAATTTTCATTAGTTTAAGTATTTGGACATAGCACAGCCTGATTTATATCTTATATACTACACATTTATTTCACCTCTCCATTGATCATAATTCCTTTGGCTGATAATTATGTCGATATACATCTATCTCTCTGAATTCATTCATACATATTATTTAGTTTAGTGATAAAATTATATAAGTATACTTCATAATACAATATTGAATATAACTTATTATAAATTGTGTGACTTCTGTCTTTTTTCACATTATATTTATTTTTAGTAGAAGTAAACTTATCAGACGTCAGAAAAGATTGGCTTGAAACAATTGGACCATTTCATATAAGAAGAATAGCAGATCATTATTCAGTTTATGAACATTTATTTGGAGATGCTTATTTTATACCTAGGGTTAATTTGCAAGTATTTTTCGAACAGCCTTTTGATTATTCGTGCCCTGTATTTTATGGGAATATTATTAAACCTAGTGATGCCAAAGAGAAACCAATAATAGAATATGATGCTAGTAAAGATGACTTGTATACTTTGGTATTAACAAACCCTGATGGAAATTTTACAGAAGAAGATAAGGAGTATGTTCATCTTTTTATGTAAGTACAATATACAAAATATATAAAAATCACTTATAATTTGTAAATATATATATCTGCAATACATAATATATTTAATATTTATATTGAGAAAGTAGTTAAATTTGATGTTGAAATGTATGATTGTATTCTTGGTAACATTTGGTGAAAAAGATAATGTAAGGATTTTTAAAACACTTTTATTAATTATTCCATTTATTGAATAGTAATGATGTTTTAAAAATCTATACTATAAATATGTTTTAATGTTAAAAAATCTTTACATTCTCATTTTTGCTCGATGCTGCGCCCTTCAAAAATCTAATCATACATATATAATATTGTTTCTGCTTATAGAGCTAATATACCAGGATCAGATGTTTCTAAAGGAGAAACAATCGTACCATATTTACAACCAATACCACCTAAAGGTACAGGCTATCATAGATACATATTTATTCTGTATAAACAAGATAAAACGATGGATTTTACCAAACTAAAAGTTGATAATAGGTAACTAAATTATTTTAAAGTGAAAAAAAAAAAAAAAACTATTATAATGTTAAAATATTTAAGAAAGTATTCTTTCAGTACTGATTTAACGAAGAGATCATTTAAAACATTGGACTTCTATCGTGAAAATCAAGATTTTATTACCCCAGCAGGATTATGCTTTTTCCAAAGTGACTGGGACCAAACCCTTACAGATTTTTATCACAAAGTTTTGAGTAAGAGATAGAATTATAACAATAACATTTAACTCTCAGGTTATAAATAATTTATTCTTTAATCTTAAATATAAATTTAGATATGAAAGAACCCAGATATGAATACGATTTCCCAGAACCCTATTTACGACCACAGGAATGGTTTCCAAGAAAACGACCTTTTAATAAATACATGGACAAATACCGTGATCCAAAGGAGATAAATAAAGAATATTTGATGGAAAAACTGAAGAAAGTTCATCCATTTGAAGAACCTGAGAAAGAATTAATGTTTCCTAATGCACAACCATTTGATAGATCAACTTATCTGCCTAGTTGGCTAAGAGAAAAAATCAAGAAAGATAGACAAGGCATAGGCCGAATTAATGAAATTAAATAAATGTACTTGTAATAATATATTAAAAGTTGTAATAATTTTACAAGAAAAATATACTGTTAAAATATAACTTATGTACATATAAAAGTCTTTTTACCTATTTGAGCATATTTTCCAAAATTTGTGAAACTTTGGACATGTTAGCACGGTTTTCAGTTTTCTTGGATATGTCTCCCAATAATGCAAAGAGCACTTTCTTCTTGCCTGCAAAAATCCATTAAATATTAACAAAATGACAATAATAAAATTTTATTTTTGGCCAGTAATTGGAATCTTTATTGCAGAAGTTCGCAAACATTGGTGTTGTGAATCCATTGCTGCTATGGACCACCCAGTTCCCTGACAATTTTTTAATAAATTTGTAATTATACAAAATTTAGTGTAGTAAACGTTTGAGGTGATAATAATTATAAAGTTTTATGACTTGAATTTAAAATTCAAAATAAAGTAAATAATAATAAATTATTGTTAGGGGTATCCACCAATTTGTAATAATTTTAAATAATATTATACACTACTATATAACGGTCAAAATACAAACTACGCAGTTGTAATAAATTGCTCATGCTATTACATTCTATCCTCGAGATAAGCACAACACATGCTCAGAAATAACCGACTTTTCCAAGGCTTTCAAACCGCAAAACCATTGTCGTTACTTTGTAATACTCAAAGAACGAGTAAACAAAGTCGTGAATCACTGTTATCTAAGAATGTAGAACACACCCTGGGAGGAGCTAGTATTTAAGCTTGTGAATGATGCAATAAACAGTCAGTATAAATTCAGAGTAAGTATGAGTTAAGGTCAATATGAGTTTATTTGCCGCTCCAGTTCATACTCAATAGTCATTGATCAATTTCTAACTGCTGAAGTTATATGAAAAGTATGAAATAAACAAACTGTTTACTGATCAAGTCTTCACAGCTTTGATATAGCTTTTGTTAGCAGCAGAAAGAACCTACGAAATTGTTGGTGTCATCGGTGGACCTTCTACACAGAAAGGAATGTCATTGGTGGTTCCGGCATTACATGATATCAGCGTTGGTCGTTTACCATAACAGTATATACATATAACAAGTACATGTTTAATAATCAATATTAGGGAACAGTTTTGTAAGGGGTATTCTTACATATCCTGGCAAATAATGTCCAGTCTACATTTGTATTTGTTAGGAGATCGGTAATAATGTTAAACCTACTTTCTACAATGTATTACCATGTCTGTTTTAGCAATATTAAATTAAAGAGCTTTTTAAACTTTTATCTTTGGAATCCAGAAATACTCAGTCTCAAAAAGTGAAAAATACATGGCCAAGCATAAGCCTTTAACAGATAATATATAGTGTCTTTCAAAGTTCAAACATTGCAGCCACAAATTGAATGCCCATATGCTACAACTTACATATTTTTATAAAAGCATAAAATTCTTTTCAGGTCCAATTATAAATATTGTATATTACTTTTTAATATAGATATTATGAGTAAAAAGATATGAACAAATCAGAGACAAACAATATTAACATGTTTTTCTTTTAATAGGGCTACCTATTTACTTCCTTTTGGCATATATAAGTAGAAAATAAATATTTTTTTTTAATTTGAAAAGGCCGACTGATATTTATGATGTTAATTTAATTTAACATAACAAAAAAAAAATATTGAGATCTACTTGTAGTGAATCCCATTTTCATTGCGTGGACCCCACAAGTTTTTTTGTTATGATCCCAGACCCCTTGGAAGTAGTTATTAACCCCTGGGGGTTGGAAATCATTGCTTTGTATCATTAACAAAAATATATTGTATTTATATAAATCAAAACTTTCTATAGTTTCATGCAAATATGAAATATATTACCTCCTTTGTATAATTTGACTAGTTTTGGATTTTGTTCTATGATTTCTTGACAAATTTTTGTTAATTCATCCTCATCTGAGATTTGTACCCAATTATTTTCTTTCATTATCTACAAAATAAAAAAAAACTTTAATGAAGTTTTAGTTCACTATAATATTAATAAACAGGAAGGAAAATAAAATGAGAATCATCGATTTATAATGCTGGCACATCGTGTACCTGCATTTGGGCATAGCACTTGTTATTATTGTAGTTACTATTATTATTATTATTATTATTATTATACAAAAGAGAGGATGCAATTACCTCAATAGGAGTTTTTGACTGATCTTCAATTAAATACTGCAATAACAGTTTGGCTGTATTGCTATTTATTTTCTCTTCATGTAATAAATTTAATATTTCTGTTAAATTCTCTTTGGTTATAGGACTGAAATCATAATATAAAATTTGTTATGCATGCTAGAGTGTAGCATAAAGTATCAAATCAGCACAAATAAACTTACGAGTCTACAATTTCAATTTTGTTCTTATTTAAAACAGTTAGCAGTTCATTGATGAGAAATTTTGCTGCTTTCATTGGGTTCATTTTGGTATTTTCAGCAATGTATAAAAAATGTGATAACAGCTTTGAATCATCCTGCAAAAGTATAAAGAAATTAATTCTTTCATTTCATAGAAGTACTTAAATGCAATTAGGTGAAGTGATTTATGAACAAGAGAGGTGGAATCTTTGAAATATTGAAATAGTTTGTAACTATATGTATTAAATAGACTTATTTATACATCACATGATATAACTTATTATCATTTACTTACAACTAAAGTAATAGCTAGCTCTGGAGTCAAGTTATAATCAGTAACCAATCTACTTCTGGTCTCATGAGGCAGTTCTGGTAATGTAGCTTTCAAAGATAAAACATTAATCAAATCTGAAGAATCATCAGGTTTATACCATTTATCATTGCTTGAGACAATGCTTTGATTACTATGAATTGGATCAGAATCAATTTTCAAAATTAATGGTGGCAAATTTGGTTCCGGCATAAATCTGTAATCCTGTTTAATGGTAAATGATAAATAATATTTTAAGGCAGATGATGTGTAAGGCTTATTTTTAAGTAACGAAACCTACATGTCTATCTTCTTTTTCTCTCATAGCTACTGTAATTTTTTTGGCTGCATCCCAAGCTCTTGTTTCATTAACAATCTTTCCACCTGAATTTAAAATCTCTTTCTAATAAAAAGAAAAAAATGTTATTTACTAATGCTTGTACAACTTAGACTTAAACGTCTATCCAAATAAAAAGTTACCTGCCTGTTAATTTCATATTTAATTGCATTAGCAACTCCTCTTATAGATCCTATATTTTTAATTTCAGTTCTAATTCCAAGTTCAATATTTTTATCACCTTGCTGAGGCTTAGATAAAGAAACGTTAGCATCCACACGCAGGGCACCCTCTTAAATTAATCAGCAAAGCAATAATGTTTTTATATTAATAATGTAGAAATATAATAATATACCTTCCATTTTGCAATTACAAGTATTTAAAGCTTGTAAGACAGCCACCAATTCTTTTACAAGACTAGCAGCTTCCTCTCCATTATTTAAATCATGATTAAATACTAATTCCATTAGAGGTATTCCAGCTCGATTTAAATCCACAAGGCTCCTTAAAATAAAAGATTTATATAAATAAAACTAAACAAATATTATGGTATCTGTTTCTTTATAGATTTAATAAAAACTGTTTCACCATAGATTTTAAACTTGAATTTGTTTGAAGTAATTACATTTGAGCATTGGTAAAACAAGATGTCTTGAAAAATTTGATGAAAGTAAATTTAATTTCTAAGATCATCACAATAATACTTTACTTGTTCTCATATTCGTCATGTAAACTTCTACCACTGTCCTGTTCAAGTTGAATTCTCAACAACTTTGAAGCTTTCTTATATCTCTTAATCTTTTTATTATTATGATCTGTATCTACATAAAATTCTAAAAATCCATTGCTAGCCAAAGGTTTGCGTTGTTGAGTAATTTGATAACCAGACTAAATATAAAAATGATCTATAGTATTAAATCATCATAAAATGTTTATGTGTATTAATATGAATATATAATACAAACCACATACTGGTAAATCAGCATAAAAATAATGTTTCCTTTCAAACATCGACAATCTATGCACTGAGCAATTCAAAGCTAACGCTGTCCGTATTCCCGATTCGACACATTTCTGGTTCAAAACCTAAAACGAAAGCAGAATTAATAATAAGGAAAACAGATAAGTTAGAGTAGTCTTTTAATATCTTACGGGTAAAGTTCCAGGAATGGCTGCATCAAAGAATGAAACACAATTGTTAACAGGGCTTGAAAAATCTGTGCTAGCTCCCGAAAACAATTTAGATTTTGAAGATATCTGAGCATGCACTTCTAGACCTATTGTAGGTACCCAGTCTGACCTATTAGGGATTAAATAATTTCATTAATTGTAAATGACAATAATAATTGTAATTTAAAGTATATATTTACGATTTATTAGACTGGCTTGATGTAGATTTGGATCTGCCATATACACATCGCTTATATTTGTACAATAATTGTCTTCTATATAGAACACTCATTTTATTAAATAATAAATGCTTGCACAAAGAAAGTGTTTATACATTTGACATATTTTATAGGTTATGTTCACTTTAAACAGTTTTTCTTAAACGTTATTATTTTGCTATTTTGCAGCTTCTGTTAAAATAAAGAGAAATCTAGTTGTAAATATTCGACAATGCGGTAAAATGTTTTATAAAAGAGAATTGAAATCGGTTTAAGCTGTTAATAAACTTTTTTTTCAAAATGGGCGCCTGTGAAGTGTTCGACTGTCAAAATAAATGGCCAAGACAGTGGTTTCCAACCATTTTTGCACCGGCCCCCCCTGCTCTTATAAAAAAGTTGTTGCGCCCCCTTAATTTTTTCAATTTGATTTAATTTTGTAAATACGCAACTGATGTTAACAGACTAGAAATTAAAAAATGCATAAAAACATCATCTCAAAAATGTTGGATTGTTTCCAAAAATAGTATTCTAAATAAATAATATTTCATTTAATATTATTAACATGAGCTAATTCCAATTTTTATACAAGCCAAGTGATGTAAAGAAGAACATTGAGGCTAAATATTTAAGTACCAAAACTTACATTTTTTTATTTCTCATAGTTTTTTGGCTGCATTCAAAGTTCTTGTTTAACAATTAACACTCTTGCCCCCCTGGATTTGAAACGTCTTTCTAAAAAAAAAAGAAAAATGTTACTGGAATGTTTGTACAACTTACATTTAGATGTCTTCAATTTCTATTATACATAATCAATTTCAGATTAGATTGGCATTGACCATGACCATCAATAAAAGTCTCAACACCAAACCCAGTCTCAAATTGTAGCGTACCATCTTTTTACACCAGCAATTATAAGTGACATGCTCAGGCTGTTTTTAAGATACCTCCTTTGACTCATATGTACATCATATTCTGAGACTCATCTGGTTGTGAGTGGAGCTTTCCAGTTTATGTGAAGTGGTTTTTATTTTGAAGCCTCGAATAACTCAACTGAAGGCAAATGAAATAACATTGAGTTTTCAAGCTTCTTGTATCTGCAGTTAATTATTAACCTGCAGGGAAGAAAGTATTTCACCAACTTTTCTTATTATCAGATCCATTCAAATAATTCTCACTGTTTATCAAAAAATATGTTAGCATTTTGCACAAAGTTGAAGTTTATCAATTCGAATGTTTAGTAAAATAATTGATAATATCCACTACTCTTTATTCACAACTTGGTCAAGAAAAAACTCATTGGTATAGCGGACTATAAAAATATAAGCTTCTATAAAACATTACTATTATATAGATAACATTTTAATTAAAGTAATTTTTATAGTATCTTATTATAGTATTATAGGATATAACATCAATGAACTGAAAATATAATCAGCCGTAATACATAATCAGTAAAATTACTAATTATGTATGAGCTTGCACAAGAGCCTGAAATAATAATTATTAGTAGTCATAGCTTGTTTATGCATAAACAAATAAATAAAACTTATGTACACTATTAAGAATTACTGGTAAGACTTGACAGAAATAATCAACATTTCAAAGTTAAAAAATTAAACTCAATCTTAGATGAAACATACATATCGAATCACTAAACAGAAATCGAATTAAAATAAAAACAAAATAGAAAAATTAGTGAAATTGAATGATAATTTGACAAATTTAAAAATATGAAAAGTAATTCTATATTACTATTCACTAGTTGATAATCCATTATTGTAAATAAATTAAATTCATTCAGTTATTTTTTTTTAAATTTCAATAGAATTATTTATGGCCAATCAAGTAATTGCGCTCTGAAGAATAATAGATCCCATGCATTGCCAATTTGAATATAATTTATAAAAATTAAAAAAGTATAATATAAGACTAAAATAATTACTTCTCAGGTCGTGCAGACCACACATTATGTATAGCTGAAAATAATCACTATGAATATATTTGATTACCTAAATGCAAATGATTAATTAAAAAACTATCAGAAATAAAAGAAGAATATATATAGGAAAATTATATTTCCACCCTGAATTATTTCATTTCAATGATACAGCAATATGTGATCGATCCATTATTAATGTATATAATATAAGATCTGACTTATTTCAAGATGGACAAAACTGTTTTTTATGATTATAGCAGCATGTCTAGAAAGCATGCAAGTTTACGTTTTTTTTGGTTTTACTCGACATATTGTATAAATTTAAGCATCTTGCTCTCTCTATGTAAATAGAGTATTTTAGAATATTCTAAGGTCCAAATAACCCAATTAAAAAAACAATATTCTACTTGTTGAACTTCACAAGAATTTTAATAAAAAATACGTAAAACCAAAAAACTATGTCAGATAATGATAAATTACAGTCTTAATTTAGAGTAGGTGAATTACATAAATACAGAAGTCGCTTAAATTAAATCCTTTAAACTTGTCACAAGTATAAACAGTCGAATATGTAAGGCTATTTTTCTGTGTATTTTCTTAAAAAAGATTTGTAGTCTAAGTACAAGACATACAATCTTCAATTCTTTGTTTCATATATGAGGTGTTTTTTTTATTAGATTATATTTTGAGGTCCCATTTATACGTCCAATTTACCATTTTTTTTATATCTAATTCATGTAAGAAATTAAGGTAAACTTTTTTTTTTGATAGTGGCCCTTTTGAGTCCAGTCAATTAAAACTACAAGCAACTTTACTGCAATCTCACGAATGCTGAATCTTTCACAATGGGACAATTAGGACACCGCTAGTAAAGTTGCAAAAAGGTGTAGCCAAGGGAAATTAATTGCTGGAAGCTTGTCGTGGGGTTCTTTACTCCTTCTTAGCCTGACTGTTCTGAGTCGCGGCTTGCTTTGCTTGATGTGCCTGTAATACAGCAACAGCTTCCTCCACCTTGGCTTTAAGACTTTCGTTATGCTCCAACATGTGCAGGAGTTCAGAATTGTCGATCTCAAGAAGCATACCGGTGATCTTGCCGGCCATGTCAGAGTACATTCCCTGAATAAGAGGGAATAATCGCTCTCCAAGCATCTGTTTCTGTTCATGAGCCGGTGCTGCGGCAAGCATGGAAGCGGTGAGTGGTTCTTGGCCTTGTACCAGCACTGCCTGTTGAGGCTGAGGAGCTTGAGCATTTGCAGAAGCCAGCACTTGAGGTGGATTGCGCATGTTCGATGTGTACTGGAAGATTATTATAAGTTACATACCATATAAGAATAATATTGACACATTAAAAAGTTCTAAATGAAGCATTTATTTAGATTTCAAAGAAAAATGTTTGAATTAATGGTACTGGTTTCTTTGTTCTAAAGAGGGTATCATTCTGGTTAAAAGGCATAAATTTGTGCTATTCTTGAAAGGTCATAAAAAAAAGAACATTTTTCTCACAGAAATGTTTCAAGGATTTAAAAGACAAAAGTTAAAGATATAAGTTCCCTAAGTGAAAACTGGGTGGATAAAATAGACATTTAACTATATACCCTGAATTATGTAAGTATATTTTTTGTATGAAAAAATTAGAACCACTATCCTGAAAAAGAACAGCAGTGCAATATATGTTTCAAATATAATTTGCCAGTATTTTGGAGGTGATAAATTTGTAAATGATAAAAGTATCACTAACGAGTACTGGGTTTCAGTATATGAAAATTATAATTACCATTCATTGATATACCCCTCAAGTTGATTTATATAGAAAAATATAAATTACACAATATATCATTACCTTGTAGGAACTTGGACGACCAGGGCCTGCAGCAACTGGGCCTCCAGCCATTGGTCTGGCCTGTGCAACACCTGCAGCTGCTGCTCCTGCTTGAGCTGCCTGTTGACCGGTAATTGGGCGGGCAGAGATCGCATTTCGCATTGCTCCTATTAATTCATATGTTCATTATAACAAAGCATATAGCATTTGTGAATAATTTATATTATTAAGCATTACAGATTCTATCATCTTACCAGTTTGGCCAGGGGCTCTGGGAGCTGGTCTGAATGCTCCACCCCTTGAGCATATCCACCCGCACCAGCGCCAGCAGCAGCTGCTGCACCTGCGGCAGCCGGACGCAATTGAGGCTGTGATGGCCAACGGGGAGTTGCTCTGATTTGAGTCATTTGAGCTGGACCATAGAAGCGTTGGGGTTGTGGCATTGTGGGTACAAGGTAACCACCTGTACTTCCAGCTGGGAATATCTGTCCCATTTGATGCATTCTCATGTTAGCCATACGTTGCATGTATTGTGAGGCTAAGTGTGCTTTGCGATCTTCCTTACGCTGAGCTAAAGCCACATATAATGGCTTAGTACCCACAATGCGTCCATTCATCTCAGTGACTGCCTTTGTAGCTTCTTCAGGAGAAGAGAAGCAAACAAATCCAAATCCTTTGCTTCTTCCATCCTCAGTCATCACCTAAAAGAAAATCATATCATAAGATACCTTCAATTATTCTTAATACTAATTGAAATAACACTAAAAGAAAAAACTTAGAATTTTAATGATTAATAATTCAATCTGATAAGCATTACCTTTGCGGATGTGATTGTACCAAACGGTGTGAACTCCTTGCGCAGCCTTTCATCATCGATTGTGTCATCAAGGTTCTTGACATACAGGTTAACACCTTGGTAGCGATTCAGACGTTCTATTTTCAGCTGCTCAAACTTACGCTTGAGTTCTTGTTGGCGTTCAGCTTTCTTTTGAGCACGACCAACGTACATCGGCTTGCCTTCCACTAACTCTTTGCCATTGAGCTCAATAACCTGAAAGTAATAAATTAAAATTCAGATGATTGAACAATAAATTACATAACAAAAAGATAAGGTGGTGCTGATTTGTAAGTGGGGGTTCAAAACTAACTATAACTTGTACTTACCGACAGTTCAGCTGCATCTGGATCATCAAAAGCAACGAATCCGAATCCCCTAGATTTACCATCATCTTTGCTCATGATCTTGTAGCTTGTGATACGCCCATACTTCTCAAACATGTCACGCAAGGATTCATCTGTCATGTCTTCTCCGAAGTTCTTGACATACACATTGGTAAAAAGTTTGGCCTTTTCTCCAAGTTCCTTCTCGCGTTCCTTGCGTGGAATAAATCTGCCTACGTAAACCTTCTTGCCATTCAACAGCATGCCTAAACAAATAAATCAAATTACAGTAACAGTCAATTTTATTCAATTCTCAATATAAGATTCTTTATTATACCATTAACTTTGTCAATAGACTTGTTGGCAGAATCTTCGGCTTCAAAGTGGACGAAGCCATAGCCCTTGGAAGCACCTGTTTCATCTTGCGCCACTTTACAACTTAATATGTTGCCGAAAGCAGAGAATGTGTCGTACATTGCCTTATTATCAATGCTTTTGTCTAAGTTCTTGATGAACACATTGCCTACACCTGACTTACGCAAAGAGGGATCTCTTTGAGACCACATAATGCGAATAGGTCTGCCCTTGAGCATATCGAAGTTCATGGTGTCTATGGCTCGCTCGGCTAGAAGAGAACATAACAAAAATTAATCTAAAGTATTTAAGTACTTTCTTATTGTTCAAGTAAAAATAAAAATTGAAAACCAAGGAAAATAATTGATAATAAATAACAAAATTAAATCAAACTTAAATAACATTGCATTAAAAAAAAACCGCTGGCAACAAACACAGATAAGTTCATATTGAAGTCCATTGATAATAAAATTATCATTGGATTAAATTATGACGTCATTAAAAGAATAAACATTAGCAATTAATATTCCCTTATATGCTTGGAAAACGTATTATTTCAAGAAATTCAATTATGTTTTTGAAGTAGCGAAAGTGAAAAAATGTAAAAATCAAAAATATAGTGCGTAATTAATTAAACGATATTTGGAAAGCAAGCTTTCACATGCTGTGCTACATAGCTTTGGAATGTATCATGCGCTAGATGATGCAACAAACATATTTTATAGAAAATAAAGTTATCTGCAGGGATATCAAGAATAATGCTATTGTAAAAAGTATGGAAATAATGCATTTTCTACGGAAAAGTTAAAATTCCCGAAATAAATCGAATCGAAAGCCTCGAAGAGACCCTTAGCATAATTCGCTAAATAAACTCGTCCAAGATGGCCGCCGTTAAAAAACACGTGTGCCTTTTATTAATTATTCTATACTCACCATCGGCAGGCTGCTGGAAATTAACGTAGGCGTAGCCCAAGGAGCGCCTCGTGATCATGTCTCGGCATACCCTTATCGACAATACGGGCCCCGCAGTCGAAAACTTCTCAAACAACATCGCCTCGGTGATGTCGGAATGCAGATCTCCAACATAAAGGGACGCCATCGGGTAGTTAGGAGCCCCTGGATTCATATCTTACGGCCTTTATATACTTAAACCACGAACAAATTAATTATTAATAAGAATTGATTAAAAATATCTATATTTCCAACGTGGCGTATATCTCCTCAAAATGGCTCGTCTGTCAGTCAAACCACGTTGAATGCGCGCACTAGTTTCAACATTTGTTTCTATTACTTTTCACTATATTTTTCGATTTTTTTAAGGGTTTTTAGGTACTTTTATGTTTTTTTTTTAATTTTTTTTGTAATTATTTCACGAAATTAAGTGGGTTGTGTGACCTTAATTCTAGGAGACACAACCTCACGTGAACAGAACTCAACTCTGTGTGAGAAAGAGGCGATGGAGAGGGGACGCCGGCGAGATATATACGCGCATTGACATTTTTCGACGCGAATGAATAATATACAGAAAATATAGTTCCTTACCTGATTCTTTATTTTGAAACTCACGAACGAATTTGAATTTTACATGAAAGTTATTTGTGAATAATTTATTTCCAAAATAAACTATTTTTTTGGATTTTTATTTTATTAACAAAAATATGTTAATACATTTATGAAACAAAAGAATTGACTGATCACATGGCTACTACGGCGCGGAAGTAGTGCGCTCACATTTTTGTTTTAAGCGAAGATTACGCATTTCATTTATTTCACGATAATGACATCGAATAAATCGTTTTCATGATATCAAATTAATAATTTCATCGAAACCATATTTATAGTCCTGAATCTTTTAATTAGGCTAGAATAAATAAATTTGATCAAAATTAGCGGGACTTTCAATTCCCAAAAAATAATTGACAAAATTTACTGAAAATAATTAAAATAAGCAACCGAATTGATTATTTTAATTAATCGAACAGAAAATATGGCGCTGGATTGCAATTTGCAATAAAAAGTATGACAAATTCATAATCATTTACTAAAAATACAAATTTTAGATGTAAAAATCAAAATAAAGAAAATAATTTATATTTCTCGATATAAATAGAAATTAATCCTAATAATATATTTATAACGAGAATAATTTTAGAATACATTATTAAATTTGAGTCGATTACTTTTCTATATTATCGATATAAAAGACAACGCTTTGTCGGTACAAAATATTGATATTTCAAATGTCGTTTTATTCTGACAATCATTTTTGAGGTTAGCTTTTGTTTATTCTCGCGATATATAATAGAAAAAAGTTCTGTAAATAAGATATTTGAGGATTGATAAGAGGAATCTTTAAAAGCGGTAATTATCAATAACTTTAATCTATTATGTTTTTCTTGCATTTCATTTTAGCATTTTGGCACTTTTCACTAGCATTTATTAATTTCTAAGGGTATTATTTTAATAGTATCGTAAGAAAACCAACAATATGTCAGTTTAATTTGCTTTTGCTAGTATGAACATGATAATTTGTCCCGAAAATTTACATATGCAAACGATTTTTCAAAATTTTATGAAAGTTAACCTATGTATTACGGTTTTCTTCATTTCTTTAGAGATTTTACCAAAGTTACTGTAATTTTCTATATTTGCAGAAGAAAATGGCGGTTGTAATAGAAACAACTTTAGGTGATGTAACGGTTGATCTATACACTACGAGAAGACCTATGGCTTGCATGAACTTTTTAAAGCTATGTAAAATGAAATATTACAATTTCAATTTATTTCACACCGTCCAACACAATTTTATTGCTCAAACCGGTGACCCGACTGGAGTTGGTGATGGAGGTGAATCGATCTTTGGTGTTTTGAATGGCCCAGAGAAACGCTTTTTTCAAGGGGAATCTATGCCAAAAATTCGACATACAGAAATAGGAACATTATCCATGGTGTCAACTGGTGAAAACATGTTAGGGTCTCAATTTTTCTTTACTTTAGATTCTGATTTAACGTCTTTGGATGGGACTCATTGTATTATTGGAGAGGTGAGTGAAGGTCATGAGATACTAAGGAAATTAAATGAAGCAATTTGTGACTCAGATAATAGACCATATCAAGATATACGTATCACGCATACTGTTGTCTTGGAAGACCCCTTTGAAGATCCCAAAGGTTTTAGAGCTCCAAGTAGATCCCCATCACCAAGTGCTGAACGTCTAAAGGGAGGTCGAATAGCACCTGATGAGGCTATAGATGAAACTGAAGGTAAAACAGAACAAGAGATCAACGAGATGATTCAAGCTCGTGAAGCTAAAGCCAGGGCTACAATTTTGGAAATTGTGGGCGATCTACCTGATGCTGACATGGCCCCACCTGAAAATGTCCTTTTTGTATGTAAACTGAATCCAGTTACAACTGACGATGATTTAGAAATTATTTTTAGTCGTTTTGGAAAAATTAACAGTTGTGAGGTGATAAGAGATAAAATCTCAGGAGAGTCTTTACAATATGCTTTTGTTGAATTTGACAATAGAAAATCTTGTGAAGATGCTTATTTTAAAATGGACAATGTTTTGATAGATGATAGAAGGATACATGTAGACTTTTCACAGTCGGTTTCAAAAATAAAGTGGAAAGGTATATTTATTTAGTTCTAAAACTGTAATTATTATTAGAAGTGAGATTTTTATCATATTTTATTATTAATTTCAGGTAAAGGTCGAGGAGTTATACTGAGTGATGAAAAAGAGTCTAACAATAAAAAAACATACAGTAAACATGAAAGATATGATGAATCCTCAAAGGGCAAACACACTTCAAGCAAAAGACACCAAAACCGATATGATGATAGTAGACATGCTAATGAAAGGGGATACGACAAGAGAGTTAAAAGTAGAAGATATGAAGAAAAATCTAGGGACTATGATAAGAGACAATATAATACTAGAAGACCTGAAGAAACATATGAGAATGATAATAGAATGCGAGAAGGAAATTATGATAATGATAGTAGAAGACATGAAGCAAAATATGACAACGGTAGTAGAAGAAGAGAAGAAACACAAGCTTATGATAATAGAAGACAAGAAGAAAAATATGACAACAGTAGAAGAAGAGAAGAAAGATATGCTAATGATAATAGAAGGCAAGAAGATAAATATGACGACAGTAGAAGAAGAGAAGAAAGATATGCTAATGATAATAAAAGACAAGAAGACAAATATGACGATAGTAGAAGAAAAGAAGAAAGATATGCTAATAATAATAGAAGACAAGAAGAGAAATATGACAACGATAGTAGAAGAAGAGAAGAAAGATATGCTTGTGATAATAGAAGACAAGAAGACAAATATGACAACAATAGTAGAAGAAGAGAAGAAAGATATGCTAATGATAATAAAAGACAAGAAGACAAATATGACGACAGCAGAAGAAGAGAAGAAACATATGCTAATGATAATAGAAGACAAGAAGACAAATATGGGGACAGTAGAAGGTGAGCATGATTTGACATATAAAAATGATAGAAATGATAAGTTCAATGGTAAATAAATATATTAATACAATTTAATATTAGAAATCATTCATAATTTTGGTAGATAGGTATTTTTTAAACAAATTATCATAATATTATCACAAGTAAATGATTGTATTTATTCTCCTGCAGAGAAAGTGAGAGATCCGACAGAAATTCTTCTAGTCAAAACTACAGAAGACAAGAAGATTACAATACATCAAAGAGAAAAAACTCCTACAGTGATCATAAAAAATCTCATCAATCATATGAACATCAGAGACGTGATGATGATTATGAAAAATCATATTCTGAAAAACACAGGCCGAAAGAAAAGTCTCATAAAGATGTTAGTGTGAGCAGTTCAAGTGAAGACGATAGAAAGTCTAAGAAAAAAAGAAAAAGAAGGTCTGAGTGAAAATGGATTTTTATACATATTCTCAGTTATAATATTATTTAAATATATAGTATACATAATTTTATTGTTGAATTTCTTTTTATAAAAATAAATGGATTTCAATAATGATTTAATTTTTATTCTAATGGTATTAATTGTAAGTAATTAACTGAAAGATTTTGTATTAGAAATGTTATTGATCTTTTGTGATATTATTTCAATTTATGGTATAAATGCAAGCATAGCTAAAGCAATTGTTATTATGCTCTCAATTTATTAATTTCCCTTACATTTATTAATCTCCCTTCCGCCTTTTTGTATTATAAACCAATAGCAAAAAAGCGGAAGGGAGATATTTGACAACCTAATATTTACAATAATATTGCTTCAAGTAAATTAAAGATTGAAGAAGTAACACAAAACAAGTTAGATTTTTATTTCTACTTTAGTTGAATAATAATAAGTAGTATTTATTAAATACTCTTGAACATCAAATGAATACTAAAACTCAACAGGTGAAAAATTTGATAATAAACATGATGGAGTAAGAGGACGAATGAGATCTACAAAACAGATTGCACATAATATCAAAGGTCTTGCTTGAGATCAAAGTTATAAAAGATTTAAAATATAGAAATTGTTTCGAAGAATATTAAATCCAAATTTATTGTGAAAATAAAACAGTGGTAAATAAGTATAATAAAATATTCTTGGTAGACGTAAGATTTTTTGTAAATAGAGGACATTTTAGTGAAAGTTATAATTACATTACAAGAATTTTAAGTAGAGAAGATATTGATATATATATATATATATATATATATATATATATATATATATATATATATATATATATATATATACGTTGGATATAAGTATCAGCCAATTCATCAAATTAGAAATAAAAAAGATTTCCTTTATTTAAATGTTTCGGCACATATATGTGCCAGTATTAAGTAAATCAAACCAGAAAAAAACTGAAACTTTAACTTAGACAATCAAATTTTATTATTGAATAATTTAATTAACAGTGAAAACCAAAACAACTACAAAAACAACATCCGGATTTTTATGAAATTTTTTATTCACAAACAGTAGGACTTAGAATCGGCTAACAGTGGTAAGAATTGGCCACCCCTAAGATTTTTTTGTATTATCTCGACTAATTTATTATATTTAAAAACCACAGACAATTCTAAATTTTCACCCACCTACCACAAACCCAGTGCATAACAATAATTTTAGCAATAAAATCATTTTTCATCCAGATTTCAGTCATTAAACGTTATTCACTGAATTTCGATTAAGATTTACTTATTAAGTTAATGGATAAGCTTAAATTTTATTTTAAATAGCAATTTATTTTTATTTATGGTTGTCCATCCCTAATAATAATTTTTTATGTATGATGAAATATAAAATTTTGATGACACGATATCAATTATTTTTATATCTCGATGACATGATAATATCATTTTCATATTAAAATTGAAAACTGATTTTAACAATTATTTATATATATATATATATATATATATAAAGAATAATGTTTATAACTCTGGCTAAATAAAATTTGAAAAAAAAGAAAAAGAATGGCAAAATACCTAATTTTATGATGTGAAAGAAGAAAAATGTTAATAATGTGTTTTTTCCGTTATTTCTTCACCAAAGTTTTAGATCATGCTATAAAAATATTGAAAGATTAAATATTTAAAGAGCTTTGGGATCGATTTTTTGTATTTTTAACTTCCCGTAGGGTAAGTTATTATAATCGTGCAAAAATCGAAATTGAAATTTTTTTACATTTCTTCAGGTTTTGAAGGTTTCTGAATATTTTATGGAATACCTCAGAAAAAATGGACGTGTGTGTGTATGTATGTATGTATAGACATAATTTTTCGTCCACGTTTTCAGGCGCACGGATCAGCCGATTTGAATGGTTAAAAAAACATTCGATTCCTCTTGATAAGGAGATGTGCTGATTAGTTTCGGAGACACGGAGCAAAGAGTGCAAAAAATAGAAACCGAGTTTTTAAGAGAACATCCGATTTGAATGATTCAAAAAACTTTCTGCTTGTTTTAACAAAATGATTGCTTTTGAAAAAAAAAAATTTTTCCATTTTTTTTCTCAACAATTTTTTTTTGTATATCGAAAATAATTCAGACTTTCTGGCTATTCAATTCTGGCTAAAGTTCTAAAGCTCACTTGTATAATTTAAATAAATAATTTTAACTTTGTAATTCAGTTTATATAATTTTTATAAATATTAGACATTGTTACAGTATTTATAATAATCTAAATGAAAGCGTTACGGTACGGAAAGTTCCAGCAATTTGCCATAAGGCACGATGCCAAACGCAACTAGTTATTTTTTATATCGCGGAGTTGAAAAATATATACAGCCCTAAACTTTCACCTTCCTATTAATATTTTTTTAAGTCTTTTTTAAACAAATGTAACACAAATATTTTTTATGGCAAAATTTGATGGTCACGGTTTTGATAATGCGTGAAAGAAAGTATTGGAATTGAAGTTCTCTAAAAGCCCTAAAACTCATAAAATCAAAATTTTAGTGAAATTTCAATAAGAGCACCTACAATCAGTAATTATACCTTGTAGTGCAACAAACACATACACACACACATATATATGTATATGTTTATGTATATGTTTATGTATATGTATACATATAATCTATTTCTATGTATATATTTTTATGATGAGCAACCGCGTTTGCAGTTCTAATTGCCCGCGTTCAAGTTTCTAGCGCACATTCTTGTAACGAAAGTTTGATACAGAAATAATAATCAAATACCGGAACGGAATAATTGTTTTATAACAAATTATTAAATCAAGGCGACCGGCCCATCAACGAGGACTCTGATGGGGGACACCTGTGGATAATATAACAAACGCAGCCGTAAAGTCTGCTCTATTTATTTGATAATGGCTAGGCTAATGGCTAACTGCATTAATGATCTTGAGTTTTCTAGAATGATACACAGAAAATTAACTAGAGAAAATGTTGTACTTAATAATGGACTTCTGCTTTCGATTTTTCACTTATGATTATTACCGAAGGAGGGGTTTATATTTTAGCCAGAAAATCCAGAAATTTGTCAGAAAATAGTTTTGCTAATTTTGTTTTCATGATGTTTCAAGTCATTCTGAAACATTCAACTCCAAATTTGGAAAATGTAAGTGTGTGTTATGAAAATGTGACCTTTCGTCGACGTTTTCTCAAAAACGGTTGCACCAATTCCAAAATTGTAAAAGCCAATTGATGTAACTCGATAAGGACTAGTGTTGATTAGTTTTGTAAGACAATCAGCCAAACCGTTTTTTTTTTAAATTAGAAAGATAAATATGGTTGGGGAGAGTGCTATCTCATAATGGACTTATGACTTATGATTATTACCGAAGGAGTGGTTTATGTTTTAGCCAGAAAATCCAAGAATTTGTGAGAAAATAGTTTTGCTAATTTTGTTTTCACGATGCTTCAAGTTTTCCTGAATCTTTCAACCCTAAATTTGGAAAATGTAAGTGTGTGTGACAAAAATGTGACCTTTCGTCGACGTTTTCTTAAACGGTTGCACCGATTCCAACATTGTAAAAGCCAATTGATGTAACTCGATAAGGACTAGTGTTGATTAGTTTTGTAAGACAATCAGCCAAACCGTTTTTTTAAATTAGAAAGATAAATATGGTTGGGGAGAGTGCTATCTCATAATGGACTTATGACTTATGACTTATGATTATTACCGAAGGAGTGATTTATGTTTTAGCCAGAAAATCCAAGAATTTGTAAGAAAATAGTTTTGCTAATTTTGTTTTCACGATGCTTCAAGTTTTCCTGAATCGTTTAACCCAAATTTGGAAAATGTAAGTGTGTGTGACGGAAATGTGACCTTTCGTCGACGTTTTCTCAAAAACGGTTGCACCAATTCCAAAATTGTAAAAGCCAATTGATGTAACTCGATAAGAACTAGCATTGATTAGTTTTGTGAGACGATTGGCCAAAATGTTTTTTTTTAGAATTAGCAAAAAAAAAAGTGTAAGATTTTGGAAACGTTTTAGCCTACAATCCTGAATCGATCTCAAAAATACAAAAACTGTTCGAAAAGTATTGGTTCAAAATTGTGCTATTAACTTTTAATTGGCCGAGCTGTTGCCTTGTAATTCATTATTGAAAAACTATTTTTGTTTGCTAAAACTTTGTATCACTTCATAGTCTAAACCAGCGGTCAGGGGACCCAAAATGTTTTTGTCTAAGTTGATATTACCGTCATGGGTTAGAGAGATATCATCCATACGGAGAATTAGGTCACAAATAAAATAAATATCAAAAATGTACCCCATTTGGGGTAATTTACCCCAGTTCTCCTGCCACTGGTCTAAACCGAGGGGATGAGGGCAACCTCTCCAACTCAGGGATTTAAATTTTCAAACTATGTGGCGGGCCCCACTTATTAATCATTTACATAGCTTGATATATACTAATAAACATAATATACAAATAAAACTAGTGCCACTAAATTGCCACTGTGGTACCAATTTGAATGTTTTTTGAACCATTCATATAGGTTAATCCGTGCGCCCGTAAACGTGAACGAAAAAATGCGGACACACAAAACACACACACACGTCCACATCAATTTTTTCTGAGAATTGCCAAAATGTTCAGAAACCTCTGAAACGTGAAGATATGCAAAAATTTTCATTTTCAATTTTCGGCCCAATACTGTAACTTACCCTATGGGAAGTTAATAAAATTAAAAAAGAATCATAAATTAATACAACAATACAAGAATGCATTACAAATAACTTAGTGACGAGAGAAAGTTGATAAAATAGTTAAAATTCCGTTTTATAAATATATAGGGCCGCATGAAGTCTGCGGGCCGCGGTTTGTTCATTCTTGGCCTAACCAAACTAACATACCAAAATATTATGGTCTTACGATACGTCGTTTAATTTTAAAAATTCATCAAAGTTTGGAATAATAAATTCGGCAATTGTA